CGATCTTCCTCCTCCTCTTCCTCCTCCTCATTCTCCAATCCTGCTTTTCCTAGGGCTGAGGAGGGCACGTGATAGGAGAGAGGAGGAGGAGAAGGGGAGGAGGATGCAGAGGAACAGCAGGAGGCGAATGTTGAGGCGTAACTCCTTCTCCGCCTCCTCCTGCTCCTCCACCCCTCCTTCTTCCCCTCCTCCTCCTCTTGCTCCCATCCCTGCTCCTCGCCATCATCATAACAATGATCCTCCCATTCCTCCTCTGGAAGGAGGAGGAGGGGAAGGAGAAGGAGGCGGAGGGGAAGGAGAAGGAGGAGGAGATGGATGAGGGGTAGTGATCTGAGGGTGAAGGGTATGTGGGCGAAGGGCAGGCGGAGGACGAGGAGGAGGAGGCGGTTGAGGAACATCTGCTCCTCATCCCTGTTGCTCCCACCACTCCTCCATATCATCACCACCCCCATGATGGCACCTCCCTGCAGTCTTTTCTTTCTTGGGAGGAGAAGGAGGGAAAAAGAGGAGAAGGATGATGGGCGGATGACGATAACTGATCTCTCAAGTCCTCATGCTCATTCTCATCCTCGTTCCCCGCGCCCTTCTCGCCCTCCTCCCATCGTCCTTCGTCCCCTCCCCCTCTTCACCCGCATCCTCCCATAAGAGGTACGATGTTGACCACGAGTGTTAGAGGGAAGATTAGCGAGAGGGTCGTGAGAATGATGATGATGATGATGAGGAGGAGGAGGAGGAGGAGGAAGAGGAGGAGGAGGAGGAAAAGGAGGAGGAGGAGGAGCCGGCGGATTGATGGGATCGGGAGGAGGAGGACCAGCGTAAACCCAAGATCCATTCACGATATTGCAATAAACCCTCGCTCAAAGCACCCTCCTCAGATGCCCCTTACAAAAGTTAATGTTCACTGATGGCAGAGCCCGGTTGGAGAACAATCGGGTGAAAATCCTGCACAATGCCAGAACAGAGAATCACCATGACTGATGCTTCTTGACGATCCAGAATCGTGCCAGAACCCCGTTCTTGGGACTTCAACACAACGAATCAACGCACTGTTGCGCACTGACTCGCCGCATCGTGCCAAAACACCATGTCTGGCACGTGACCATGAGGACCATTGAGGAATTATTGTAAAACTCTTAGAGCGATGTGCGCGGCGCTGAGGCGAGAACCACAATTTGAAAAAGAACCGCCCTCAATCCGTGAAACGCTTCCTATGTTTATGACAAGTGCGCGCGGCGTTAAAATGATAAACACATTTTGAAACTGGCCCTCCTTCCCACCGTGAAACTGCTGCATTTTGTTATGACGAACGCGCGCGGATCTAAGGCGAGAACCACAATTTGAAAACGACCTGGCATCCATCCGTGAAGCGCTAGCAATGTTTTAAACACAAATGTGCGCGAGGCTTCGGCGTGAACCGCATTTTGAAAACGACGCACCATCCATCCGTGAAAATCGTGCATTGTTTTGTTAAACGGATGCGCGCGGCGCTTCGGCGAGAACCACATTTTGGGAACGACCTGTCCTCAATCCGTGACGCTCTTGCGAATGTCTACAACGGATGTGCGCGGCGCTTAGGCGACAACCACATTTTGAAAGCGACCCGCCCTCCATCCGTGAAGTTGTCGCAAAACTTGAGATTCGGAGTTATGTTTGGTGAACACCTCTCAGGCGAAACGCCCCCTTCCGACTGGCGTCGGGGTGCGACAGGGAGGAGCTGTTCATAAGGAAAAGGAATGGAACGGCGTCTCTACGTCCTCATACTGCTCCTCCTCTTCTCATCGCATCAGTTCTCCTCCTCCACTCACCTCCCACTCAACCTCGAGGAGGTGAAGGTGATAGAAGGAGGGTGAGGAAGATGAGAAGGGAAAGCGATATGATCAGAAGAAGAAGGAGGAGGGGTACTTCCTCAATGTCCTCCTCGTGGTCGTCACCCTCCTCCTCATCTTCCTTCGCGGACGAGCCATCTTCCTTTCAACACAGGAGAAGGAGGTGTGACACGAGGACGGGGAGAGGGATAAGGGGGAGCGGCGATAGGAGCAGGAGGATGGGGAGCCGGAACAGGATGATGATGAGGCCTGGCTCATCAACTTCCTCCCTCTATGGTGAGCAGGAGGAGAGGTGATGCGAGCAGGAGGGGAAGGATGAGAATGAGTGGCTCCTCGACCTCATCTCGCACATTCGACTTATCCTCCTCCTGCCGCATCGCTCTTCATCCTGCTCATCATATCAGTATTACATCATCATCAGCCTCCCTCTTGTAGCAAGATGGTGAAGAGGAGAAGGTGGAGTGATGTAGGGAGAATGACGAAGAGGAGGAGAAGGAGGAGGAGGAGGAGGAGGAGAAGGAAGAAGAGGAGTGACAAGTGCAAGGGGAATAATGACTCTTCTAACTCCGCCTCCTGGTTTTCCGCCTCCCCCTCCTTCTCATGTCGCTCTCCCTCTTCCTCTCAGTGTAGGAACAGCACGAGGTGTGATAGGAGGGGAAGGCGGAGAAGGAGGAGGAGGAGGAATGCACGGGGCGTGAGGAGGAGGAGGAGCAGGAGGAGGCGTGACACCTCATCCATCTCCTGCTTCCACCTCCTGCTTCTCCTCCTCCTCATCACATCGCTTTCCACTTTCCCGTCGTCCTACCACTCTTCCTCCTCCTCCTCCTGCTCTCCCACCTCCTCCTCCTCCTCCTCCTCCTCCTCCTCCTCCGCTGCCTCCAACGGGAGAGCATGATGATGAGAAAGACTGACAGAAGGAGGATGAAGAGGACTCCTCATTATACTCCCTCTTCCCATATTCCTCATCGTGCAGATGTTGACTGCCACCAAACCGTACTACACACATATCCGCCGATCTGGCATGTGAGTTTCTGAGAGCGTGGGCTTGAGCTCGCTCAAGCTTCGCTGTGCCGGGGGGGGGACCTCATCCGACCTCATCCGACGCATTCAGTGCTCGGCACCCTCCCCCTCGACGCCGGTCCCCCCCCCGGGGCTGGCACCCCCTGCCCCCCCGCAGGCTCCCCCCCCGTGCCCGTACCTGTGCTCGGCACCCCCTCCCCGATGCCCCCCCCCCGATGCCGGCATCCCCCCTTGCCCCCGGTGCTGGCACCCCCCCCGGTGCCGCCCTCCCCCCCGGTGCCTGCTGGCACCCCGCACCCCCCCCCCCCTCCAGGCCACCCCTCTTCGATGCACGCACCTGTGCTCGGCACCTCCCCCCCCCGGAATGTCGGCGCGGGGGGGGGGGGGGGCGGCACCGGGGGGGGGGGGGCCGTCGCTGGGGGGGGGGGCAGGCACTGGGGGAGCGGGTGCCGGCACCCGCGGGAGAGGGGGGGTGGGCCGGACACCACGAGGGAAGGGGACGCCCACCCCCTGGTGCCGGCGCTCACTCCCGGGTGCTGGTCCCCCCTCCCCGGTGTCAGCACCTCCCCTCCTCCTCCTCCTCCTCCGTCTCCTCCTCCTCCTCCTCCTCGCTTTCCTCTTCCTCCTCCTCCGCCTCCTCCTCTCCTCCTCCTCCTCCTCCCCTCATCCTCGTCCTCCTACCTCCTCTCCTCGTCCTCGTCCTCCTCCTCCTTCCTCCTCTCCTCCTCCTCCTCTCCTCCTCTTCCTCCCTCCTCCTCCCTCTTCCTCTCCTCCTCCACTCCTCCTCTTCCTCCTCCTCCTCCTCCTCCTCCTCTCCAAGCTCACATCACCATCACCACCACCGTCACCATCACCCGCACAATCACCATCACCACCATCATCATCACCATCACCATCACCATCACCATCACCATCACCATCACCATCACCATCACCATCATCATCATCATCATCATCATCATCATCATCATCATCATCATCATCATCATCATCATCATCATCATCATCATCATCATTGTCATCAGCATCGTCAGCATCAAAATCATCAGTATCATCGTCATCATCATCATTAGCATCATCAGCATCACCATCAGCATCGTCATCATCATTAAACATCGTCTTATCATCATCATCATCATCATCATCATCATCATCATCATCATCATCATCATCATCATCATCATCATCGTCGGTCAGAGGGCGTCGTCGTCATAATCGTCGTCGTCGTCAATCGTCGTCGTTAACACGTTCGTCAATCGTAGTAATTATCCCGCTCGTCGACGGTTGGTCGTCCGTTGTCGTCGTCATCGTCCATTCCCACACTCATCAGGAGCGCCCTGGATCGGCGGCACTGGCTGGAGGCCACTGAAATATTTGTTGATCGGGGATAGCACCAAGCCAACATGCGCGGACATCCTGAAAACCACACAAACCAAACAAGCATGTTTAAAGTGGGGTTTGGTGATATCCCCGACCAAAGCAACCAAACAAACATGTGTACATCATAATGTGGTGGCGTTCAACCTCCTCATGAAGATGAATATGGGAAGAGACGGAGGCCTGGCCAACATGTGCGGACCGACTGTAACTAAAAGCACGTGTATAAAAAGGGTTTGGTGATATCCTCGACCAAGGAACAATCCAAACAGCTGTGTATAGCATGGTGTGGTGACAGTACACGTCCCCATGAACTTAAATATGGAAAGGAACGAGGAAGAAGAGAAAGCGGAGGATGAGGACGAGGAAGGCTCGGCGAGATGGGATGTATAGACGAAAAAACATACATGATCATGTGGGGTGCTACCATATATTCTTACATACATCTATTATGCGTACACGCACATATGTGTGTATATATGGGCGATGTCGGAAACCCTGACCCCAAAACTGTTTCCATCTCTTGGGGGTACATCTTTCACTTCCGCCACCTTCCGCCGCCCTTCCGCCGGCTTCCGCCGGCGGAGGCGGCCTCGTTTCACTTCCGCCAGCTTTCCGCCCTTCCGCCGCGGCAGAGATGGCAACTCCTTCGATCCTCGAAGGCAAAGCCTTTTTGTTGGAACGCCCCATGTATAGATTCACCTATATGCGCGTGTATATATATATATATACAGATATGTATATCCCCATAACGTTGCCTCCGATCTCTGCGGGCTGCCTGGCGCTTCATCATGATGCCGTACTTGCGGATGAGGCCCATGCCGCCCGGGCGGCCAGACATGCGCGAGCAGCGGCTGCCCTTGGACCCCGGGATGCCACGCACTGGCCTCGGGCGCGGCACTGGGGCGTGCGCTTTGCTCGGCGACGAGCGAGGAGGGGAAGTGAGAAGGAGCGGGCCTTCTCAGAAGGCTCGGAAGTCCCCGGGCCTCCTGAGAAGTTTTCTAAACCTTCCCCGAAGATACAAGTTATCCCAGTGCGACCCTACCTAGGAGTTGGAGCCCCTAGGAAAGCAGCATTAGTAGTGACAGTAAGGCTAAGCTAAAGCTAGGTTAAAGCTAAGCTAAAGCTAAACTAAAGCTAAGTTGAAGCTAAGCTAAAGCTAAACTAACGCTAAGCTAAAGCTAAGCTAAAGCTAAGCTAAAGCTAAGCTACAGCTAAGCCAAAGGTAAACTAAAGATAAGCTAAAGCTAAGCTAAAGCTAAGCTAAAGCTAAGCTAAAGCTAAGCTAAAGCTAAGCTAAAGCTAAGCTAAAGCTAAGCTAAAGCTAAGCTAAAGCTAAAGCTCCCAGGGGACTGGGGGTACCGCTCCCAGGGGACCGGGGGAACCGCCCGGGGCGGGTTCCACTGCCCGGCCCTTTTAAGCAAAAAGAGTAAGAACCCTTCTAGGCAGAGCCTAGGTAGGGAAAACCTGCTCAGAAGGCGAGAGGGCTTCTGAGAAGTCCCGCCGCCTAATTCTGAGAAGGCCTTCTCCTTCTCACTTCCCCCCCTCGCTCGCCGCCGACTTGCAGCGGGGGGGCGATTCTGGGATCCCTGGGAGGCAACGTCTGGCGGTCTTCGCAAGAACGATCGCAAGCTACTGAACCTGATTGCGCGGCCATCGAGCCAGATCCGGCCAAAATGAGCCCAGGATTCACCTGCATTAATGAAGGGGCCCCAGGACACACAAATAAATACACACAAATAAACAGAATCCCCCTTTTTTCTATATTTTCTGTGTTTCTGTCTTCCCCCCCACTTCCCATATTTTCCCATATTTTCTGGGAAATCGACGATTCGTTGTGTCTGTGTGTTTTTTCCCTCCTGAATGAAACCGGAGTCAGCGGAATTCCGCCGGGCACTGTGCGAGACCTGGGTGGATTTCGACCACGGGTGTGCCAGCGCCGAGGCTGAATCTGGCCTCCCAGGAGCTGCATCCGCGGGATCCTGTGCAGTGCTTCGTCCGCAGGGCCCACGGCAACAATCTGTGCCTAGACTCTCGGGGCCGCAGATCAGCAGCGGCCCTCCACAGACTGTGGGCGCTCAAGTATTTTCGGGAGCGGCCAAGAGGGGGGTGCCCAAGAGGGGGGGGTGCAAATCAGGACCGTCGGCATGTGCGCGGCCCAGCGGGGGGGCCAGGGACGGAATGAAACAAGAAGAGGGGCCATGAAATCTGGGGAAATATCATGGCCCACGCCGTGATATCCACCCCCCCAGTCATCAGCCCCCTCTTTTCCGCCCCCGATCTTTGAGGCAGGTACAGAGCCGAGCGACCGCCCTCCGATCGGCGGCCGGGCGAGCACACGAGCGCGAGATGCCTCGGGCTCGCGCGCAAGGGGGAGCGGCGCGATGGCACGAAGAGCGGTGCAGATCGGAGCGAGCGGCGGATCCCTCCTTCACGAGCCTTGCTGCGGCGGGGTCGCGACGTGCACGAAGCTCGCTCACGGAGCCGTCGCGCCCCTGTATTGGCATGGAACTGGCGCGGACGCGCCGGTGGTGCCCCGGCGGCCCGTCGGAGTCCTGCCGGGTGGTGCTGGGCGGCACAGTCCTCGACGAGAGGTCGTCGTGCTCCTATCTCACCGTTGCGAGCGTCACCGGGCAGCGACTACACGAACACGGGTTGAGTATGGCAAGGGGCGCTGCTTTCGATGCAATGGCAGCGCTCCAAGTCTCAAGACAGCCCGTCAACTCTCTGTGCGATGTAGCACGTCTCGCCCAGCACGTGAGGGTCTGCTGAAGCACCCTGATCAAGTATCTCGCTTGGTCAACTGAGGCGCCCGCGGATTAAATGGGTTGCGAATCACCTGGCGCTGAGATGAACTGAACGAAGAGCACAATAAATTGGCAAGCTTGCCTGCACCGAAACAAGGCCCCTAACATGAGCAAGGCCCCTAACATGAGGAAGCCCCTAACATGGCAAGCTCGACGTGGGCAACAGGAACTGCGCACTGGTATCATACGACCACGACAGCGTCCGACGGCACCAATCGCGAGTAAGAGCACCCGATCGCGACTCGAACCACGAACCACTGGCGAGCCTTGCCCCGCCCCCCAACATGCACAACGCGAACTTGCCTGCTTGCTTGCGCGCGACTCATACACCATGATGGTGGGCAGCCGAACCATAGGGTGTGTTTGTACGAAAGAGCGCGCCCGTCGCACTCCTTACAAAAAGGGGGCCCCCAGCTTCAAGCTGCCCTTTGTTTGGAGATTGTAGCTGGGGGGTCCCAGGCTAAAGGGGGCCGGGCTCGGAAGCTACCCCCCCCTTCTTTTCGGGGCCCGGGGTGAGCCCGGGCTCCCCTTTCCAAAAGGGGGTGGGCTTCCGAAGCTGCCCCCCCTCCCCTCCTTCTGTTTGCTTTTTCAGCTGAGGGCCCTGGCTGAAGAGGGGGCTTCGAAGCTACTTTTCTCCTTTGGTTTTCGGCGCCCCGTTGGAGTTCGGCGTGCTTGTGGTTTCTGGTCTCTTTATTGTTCGGCGATTCGTTGGTCTTCGGCACCCCATTTGGCCTTTGGCGCCCCAATAGTTTTCGGCGCCCCTTTGGTTTTCGGCGGTCCTTTTGTTTTCGGCGATCCTGTGGTTTTCGGCGCTCCTTTGGTTTTTGGCGTCCCTTTTGGTTTTCTGCGCACCCTTTTGGTTTTCGGCGCCTGTTGTCGATGTTCAGCGCCGCCTTTGGTTTTTGACGCCCTTTGGTTCTCGACGCCCTTTTGGTTATCGGCGCCCCTTTGGTGTTTCGGCGCTATTTTGGTCTTCGTCGCATCGTTGGTTTTCGGCGTACCTTTGGTTTTCGGCTTTGGGTGTTCGGCGCTCTCTGATTTTCGGCGCTCCGCTCCTTTTGGTTTTCGGCGCTGCTCTGGTTTTCGGCGCTCAATGGTTTTCGGCGCATCTTTAGTTTTCGGCGCCCTTTTGGTGTTCGGCGCCTCTTGGGTTTTCGGCGTTCTTCTGGTTTTTGGCACCTTTTGGTTTTCGGCGCCCCTTTGCTTTTCGGCGCTCTTTTGGTTTTCGGCGTCCCTTTGCTTTTCGGCGTTTTTTTTGTTTTCGGCGCTTCGTTGGTGTTCGGTTCCTTTTCTGGTTGTCGGCGCCCTTTCAGTTTTCGGCACCACTTTGGTTTTCGGCGCTCCTTTGGTTTTCGGCGCTCCTTTGGTTTTCGGCGCATCGTTGGTTTTCGGCGCCCCTTTGGTTTTCGGCGCTCCTTTGGTTTTGTGGCGCTCCTTCTGTTTTCGGCGCGCCTCTGGTTTTCGCACCCTCTGGGTTTTCTGTGGCCCTTTGGCCCCTTGGTTTTCGGCGCTCCGTTGGTTTTCGGTGCCCTTTTGGCCTTCGGCGCCCCTTCCTTTAACCCAAGAGGGGGGGGGGCTTGCAAACCCCCCCCCCCACGCCCCTCTTTTAGGGGAGGTGGGGGGCCGGCCCCGCCCCCATTCCAGCCAAAACGTGGGAGAGGGGGCGGGGGGAGGGGCTTCCGGCAGGGGGGCACTTAGCTTCAGCTTTCGGTCATGGGACATGCCGATGTCAGGGGGACCAAAAGTGGCATAAGCATAAAAATTCGGCGGTCCGCGCGGATATCTCGGATCGGCGCTGGACCCCCCTCCCTGGCGCGCGGAGCGCGCCAGGGGCGGTGCCGGAGGCGCCGCCGGGGGGCCCCAACGCCGACCCGACAAATCCGCGCGTACCTCTGAGCTTTCATGTTTGTGCCGCTTTTGTTCCCCTATGACAACAACACAGAGAGAGCCCACTGCACGGCCCCGCCACGCAAGACCAAACCACCAAACCACGCGATCCGCCCAAACCAACAGCAGCAAAACTGAGCTGACGGAGCGGCGCCAAAATCGCTTCCCAGTCGAAGCCAACCAAGTAAAACCTGGACAGCCCACTACTCGCGGCCTCTACATTCGGGGGTGGCGGCGGCCGACGACCCGCAGAATGGCAACCGCCGCCACCGAGCTCCGGCGCGCACAGGCTCCGTGGCGGCCCGCTCACGGCCTCGCCGGGGCGAGCCGAGCGCGCCCGCCTCGGCAGTGCAACTGGGGAGGCTCATGGGAGCCGCGGCGCACGTGCCGAGAGGACTGCCCCCTCCTCCTCCTCCTCCTCCTCCTCCTCCTCCTCCTCCTCCTCCTCCTCCTCCCTCCTCCTCCTCCTCCTCCTCCCTCCTCCTCCTCCTCCTCTCCTCCTCCTCCTCCTCCTCCTCCTCCTCCTCCTCCTCCTCTCCCCTCCTCCTCCTCCTCCTCCTCCTCCTCCTCCTCCTCCGCTCCGTAGCCATTTTGGCTCAAGCCATTTTGGCTCAAGGCCAAAATGGTGACCATTCCACTGCCGATCTGGGGTAGGCTCCCAAAGCTTTCAGTGCTCTTCATATTTGCAGCCACACCCACGGGCGAGCTGCCGCCCACTGCAGCTACACTCAGGGGCGAGCTGCCGCCCATTGCAGCTACACCCAGGGGCGAGCTGCCGCCCATTCCATATCTCTCCCTCGCGTGGCTCGCGAGAGCTCCTTGGGAAGCAGTGGGACGATGGCCGCCGCGGACCGCGGTGGAGGAACCGCCCCTGCTGACGGAGGAGCTGCCGCCAACGGCGGCACCAGGCCGCGACGTGCACGCCCTGAAGGTGGACGAGGATCGCCAGCGAGGTTCGCTGGCCAGTACACGGTCTGCAAGCAGTGTCGATACCGATGGACGTGGAAGGGCAAGTCCGAGTGCTTCTACTGTGGCAAGCTGCTGGCCCCATCACCCGCTGAGCACCGCCAGCCTGCTGGGGCGTGGGCAGGAGTCAGCAAACCACCGCCGTGGAAGGAGCAGCCAGTGGCCGTCGCCCCGACCAGGGACGCCATCATCGCCACGCTCAGCACGCTCCTCAGCGACACCAAGCACGCCGAACTCGTCGGCAACCTCAAGGACGCCCTCCAGCAGCCCGACAAGCCGCAGCCTGCCCGCACGGCAGAGCAGGTGCTCCAGTCGGCGCTGTCAGTCCTCACAGACAGGGAGAAGAAGTTCAAGCAGTCGGTCGACGACGTCGAGGCCGCCAAGCAGTGGTACGATGACGCCGTGGCCAAACAGGAGCAAGCCGCCCTGGACCTCGTCCAGGCACAGAACGCATGCGCCAAGGCGCAAGCGGACCACAGCGCCAAGCTTGCTGGAGCTGCACGCGGAGCACCACAAGCGGGATCCCAGGAAGCCTTGGGACGACCTCTCCATCTACGACGAGGGCACCCGAGCCCAGATGGAGCGCCTGGCCGAGCTCAACAATGGTCAAGAGAAAGTACGGGAACTCCTACGCCAAGCCAAGGAGTCCACTACCAACCCAGCGAAGCGGAAGAAGCCGAGCGGGGAGGAATCAGCTGCTCAGCAACCTCATCCTGAACCCGCTCCCGCTCCACCAGACGAGCACCAGCCAGCGGCCGCACCTGGAGGACAGGCACAACCTGGCGCGCCAGGAGGCTCTGCCGCCCCACCTGCCGAGCCACGCCAGCCTGGAGGGGCCGCCCCTGCTACCGACGAGCCCTCCGAGGAGGACCGCAAGGCCGCCGCCGAGCTCATCGCCACCGCCACGAGGGCCAGGGAGCTGGCCCACGCAGCTAAGGGCGTGGGCAAGGGCGCCACCATGGCGCCAGCGGCAGCGGCAGGAGCCCCACCGTCGCTGGGGTAGCCACAAGCGGCCGCAGCGGCTGAGGGGGCAGGGGAACCGCGCCAGGGGGCTCCCCACGGCAGGTGCACCCGCCCCAGAGGCCGAGCGTGCGGCCCAGATCCTGTTCGGCAGCGTAACGGTTTGGGGGCCACAGGCCGCCAACTTCTGTCGCAACGCAGGCCGCAAGTACCACCTCATAGCGCTGGCGGGGACCCACGTCGACGCGTGCGGCATCACCGAGCAGAATGGAAAGCTCGCCATGGACGGCTGGAAGCTGTCGGCCACGCCCGCGGTGGCCACCAACAAATCGGACAAGGGGACCCATGGCGGCGAGTGGATCCTCACGCGCAGGGACGCGGCGGCGACCACGTTCGAGGGCTACAGGGAGTACTACGTCGAGCGCTACAAGAGGCAGCCGTTCGTGGGCTTCACGCCGACAGTCCCCCACTCCAAGAGCGGCAACATAGTCATTATAGCGGCGTACCTGCGCCCTGGCCTACGGGGCCAAGGCGCGAAAAGGGACATCCTGGTCTCCATCTCCACGTTTGTGGACATGCTCATGGACCCGTGGATCATCCTGGCCGACTGGAACTACGAGCCGCGCTGGTGGGACAACAAACCGTGGCTCACGCGATGGAACGGCACTATCCTCACCGACCCAAGCTGCGAGGCGACGTGCGACAAGGGCTCGGGCGCCGTGTACGACTACGCGATTGCACGAGCGGGCATCGCCACGCACGTCGGGATCGAGGCCATCCACGACGTCCCCTGGAAGACCCACTGCGGCATCCAGATCACGGTGGGCACCGCCGAGCCGTGGCAGTACAAAGCTATAAAGGTTCCCAAAGCCCTCCCCGCACGAGCCAGACCTAGGAAGGTCGCGGGCCCGAGCAGCAAAAGGTCCAAGGCTCGTGCGGAGGCGTTGCGAACCAGGAGGGACAGGCTACCAGAGCACCTGCGCGACGAGTTCGACGCCCTCTACTTCGACCGCGAGACGGCCAAGGAAGACCCCGCCCCTTCGTGATCCCACAGCACTGTTGGGACGCCGCTGCCGACGAGGTCAGCAACTTCCCGAAGTTCGATGGCGCTAAGGTCGGCACCAAGGAGGGCAGGGGGCACATCTTCCACAACCATGCGCCGAACCTCGCGGAGAACATCAACTCGAAGTACGCGCAGTGGGTCGCGACCCTGGAGCTCGCCTTCCTGGAGACGCACGCGGCCCCCGTCGAGGACAGGGCCAAGTACCAGGGCAGGGCGGAGGGGTACAGGGCCACCAAGCAGACGATGAAGGCGTCGCCTGGCAGAGCGTACCTCAAGGACCTTGAGGCTACATGGTGGCAGCACCTCAGTACCCTCGTGGTGACGTACTCTGCGCTGGTCACCAACGGCAAGCACCCCATTGCCCGCCAGCACATCCACAATACAGTCATGAAGAAGCTGGACGACCTGGAGAACCCTGAGTTCTCCAAGGAGCTCTTCGGCAGCAAGACCGACCCGCAGGAGATCGAAGAGTGGAAGACCCAGCTGGTAAACCTCGAGTACTGCGACGCGGCGGACCTGCACCGCGTCAGCGCCACCACCATCTAGTGGACCCACAAAGCCATGGCGAGAGCGGCAGGCAGAGCGCGGAAACGGTATCTCGACTGGGCGAAACAGGCGTGGAAGGACTCACCAGGAAAGCTGCACCGCATCGTCGCCGACCCCAAGGCGCCGCGCCTGGAGGACAAGCAGCCTCAGAGAACGGTGGGCGACCCGTCCACGCTCATGAACCACTCTGCCGATACCTGGCGCTCCATCTGGGCGTCCGACAGCTACAACGTCAAGCAGATCATCAGCGCGTGCGAGAAGGCCGTGCGGCTCGCAAAGGAGGACCCCCCCCCCCGCTAATCGAGCCGCAGCACATGCAGGCCACTGTGCGCACCGCCGACCCGAAGAAGGCGAGAGGAGTCGACAACATCGGCCCCATCGACATCCAGAGGCCCCCCGAGAAAGGGATCCAGGAGCTCGCCGAGATCTACAACCAGGTGGAGGCCAACGGGCTGTGGCCTCAGCAGCTTTGCGCCACCAGTGGGGCCATGGCCCCCAAGCCCGCAGGTGGAGAGAGAATATTGGGCATGCTCACCACAATCCCCAAGACGTGGGCCAAGGTCCGCTCCAGCGTAACCGACGAGTGGTCCAGGGAGCCCGGGGGGTTCTGGGACACCGCCATCAGAGGATCCAGCGCCTTAAGGGCAGCGCTAGTAAGGGCGCTACTTGACGAGACGGCGGCGACCTTCGGCGTGGCCTTCGCGACCTTGCTGATGGACGTAGAGAAGTTCTACGACTCGGTCTGCTACGAGGCCCTCTACGAAGCCGCGATCGGGGTCAAATTCCCCCCGATTGTCGTGGCGATGGAGGTGCAGCTCTACCTGGCGCCCAGGTACTTGCGGATGCACGGCTGGGTCAGCGACATCATAGACGCCGAGAGGTCCATAGCCGCGGGCAGCTGCAATGGCGGCAAGCTCGCCAAGGTATACCTGGGGCCGATCCTGCAGAGGGCCCACACCAACCACACGCACGCTGGCCCGTGGACGTTCGTGGACGACACGGTCGCGAGGACAGAGGGCCAAACCAAGAAGGTCATCAGTGATCTCATCGGGGTTGGCGCCGACCTATTCGAAGGAATGACGGGCGCGGGGCTCAGGGTCTCCCCCAAGACCACCGCCTCCAGCCAGACGATCGCCTACGCAGTGCACGACGGTCTCAAGAAGAAGGGCTACCACGTCAAGGTGGCCAACAGCGCGGTCGACCTTGGCATCGACGTGGGAGGCGCCAAGAGACGGGTTGTCGCCACGGCAATCAAGAGGGCCAGGACCGCGAGGAGGCGTACTCACCGCATCGTGGCCAAGGTCAGGAAGCACGCCTCCCTAGCCAAGATCGCGAAGGGCTTGTGGAACACGGGATCCAGGCCGCAGGGGACCTACGGCCACCAGATCATGGGCCTCGCCCCGGCGGCCATCCTCGACCAGAGGCGCCATGCCGTTCAGGCCACGGCGGGGAAGGTCCCTGGCCGCTGCCTCTCCACAGCCCTCGCCGTCGCCATGGGGAAGAAGGACCCCGCGATCGAGCTCAGGCGCCAGTCAATCGCCGAGTGGCTCAACTTCTGGATGCAGTACCCAGAACACCACAGTCGGGTCACGCAGGCGTGGAAGCGGATATACGACAAGTCGATCAAGTACGGCAACAAGAAGTGGAGGAAGGTCAAGGGGCCCATCTCCGCCATCCAGGCTATTCTCCTGGACGCAGGATGGACCTGCCCGACGCCGACGGAGCGGTCGCGACCTCCGTGGGCAGGCGAGACCTACTCGCAGGAGTGGCAGCTACCCCACAGTGGCCAGGCCGACTGGGAGGACAAGCGCAACGACGTGGACCCCGCGGAGTTCGTCCACGAGTTCGGCCTCTCCCTCGAGAAGAGCCTGTGGAGGGATGCTGCCAAACACCCACACGGAGAAGGACTGCAACGAGGGGGCCCAGACGCCCACATAGTTGCCAACGAGATGGGGAAGTTCACGAGGAAGGGCCAGCACGACCAGGTGGCCCTCAACCTGTGCGTGGTCGCGGGGGCGCAATGGCCCAGAAGCCGACTCATCGAGACGGGGTGCAACGCTACTCCAACGTGTCCCAGGTGCGGTGGGGCAGACGAGACGCTCATGCACAAGGTCTGGCTGCGCCCGTGCAACCGCGACCACGAGGACTACACGGATTCTGACGCCCTCATGCCCTCTGCCCTGGCGGGAGCAGAAGCTGCCCCCGCATACTGGCTCCGCGGCCTGCCTGCGTGCGATGACACGCACCCGCTCTCTGCATCGTTGGGAGGGGACGGCGGGTGGAGCTGGGTTGGGCGGGAGTGGGAGGATTGCGTCAGCAGCGACGGCACCCTCACCCTATTCGGGGACGGCTCGTGAGGTCAGTACAGTGATGACCCACGACGCCGAAGAGTGGGGACCGCCTGTGCCGCCATGAAGTGCCTCTTCGGGGAGTGGGTCCCCTGGGGAGGCATCATTTCGGGCCTCGAGGGCCCCTTTCAGACTGTGCCTCGTGCTGAGCTGCTGGCTTTCGCGCTTGCCCTAGAGCACTGGGACGGTGATCTCTGCTTCATCACAGACCACCTCCCGTTATGTGACGGATGGCGGTCGAATCGACACTTGCGCCCCCGCGATGGCGCCAATCAAGATTTGTGGGCACGTATTGCTAAAGCAATACGCGCACGTGGTAGTAGGCAGCTCTCGGTGATCTGGATGCCCTCACACAGCGAGGAGTCACCTGGCCTCGCCTCTGACCCTGTGCGCTACTTTCACACCATTGGTAATGCGACGGCCGATGCATGGGCTGGGGTAGCGGCCCAGAGGTCCTACGAGGCAGCGCTCGTGGGACAGGCCCCTCCCACGGACCTGCACGATGCACAGTGCACCCTCATCCGCAGGAGGGCGCGCCGAGCCCTAGCTGACACGCTTGCAGTAGACCCCTGGGTGGCGGAGCGACCCTCGCAGGCCAAAGGCCCGCGTCTCACCAAGCTGCAGCTAGCCATGCGATCGAGCCAGCACGCCTTTGAGCTCAGAGCGGGCAAGTATCTCTGCTCGCGGTGCGGGCTCACCACCGACAAGCGTAAAGTACGCCAGGCCTGCGCCACGCCGTGCGCCCACCAGACCCACCTTCCGTCCGCCAGCGACCAGATAGTGCCAGTACAGGGCACCATCACCATCGCTGGCCGCGAGCTGCACGCCAGCCATAAGCTTCATGCCATGCAGAAGTACCGCCTGTATTTTTTTGTCGCGGGTGCGGCAAGACGGCCACAGAAGACCCACGCCACCTCGCCGCACCCTGCGCAGGCGTTGTTTCGAAGAAAGGGCGAGAGAACCTCGCCAAGATTGACAAGGGAGAATTTACCCGCGCCCACGCGGGGCGCGATGGCCTCACCAAATTTTTGCGAACAACTACCCACGGCATAGCCGTGGAAGAAATTTCAGCTGCCGCGGCGCCTGCCGCTGCAGTCGCCACTTCTAGCCAGGGCTAGGATGCGTTCGGCATCGCCCGAACTTCGCACCTGGGTGCGCTCGGTCTGTTCCTCTGTTCCTCCTCCTCCTCCGCCTCCTCCCCCTCCTCCTCCTCCTCCTCCGCCTCCTCCTCCTCAGGTGCCAGAGACTCTGACCGCACGTTTGCCACGCTGTCTCGAGCTGCGCAGGGCAAGACACGTGGAGGACAGGACGGGGCAGGCAGGCGACGACGTGTGCCCGGGGGGGGCGGCCCTCGAAGAGCTCGGCGGGGGAGCCAGAGCCCCGAAACTCAGCGGTCGTAGCACACGGTTACTTTACGATCTCGAGTGTGTAAGCCAATGGGTGAAGGGCGCAGGGGGCGCTCAGCCTTGGGCCCTGAGGCGTTGAACTGAGCCCCGCGTGGCCCCGATGGGGACCTTTGGGAGAAAGGCCTGTCGCTCTGGGCTATTCGGTCGTCCGTCATCGCGAGGGGGACCAAGGAGCGCGTGGATTGAGCCCTCTTCCTCTCTTCTCAATCTCCTCTTCCCCATCGGCCTCCTCTCTTATATTATCCTCCTTCTCCTCCCCTGCCAGAGGCCTTGCACGGAGACCTGAATCGCAGCACCAACGCGCAATTTTGGGCCAGGGTGTGCTTCCAGACGCCATGCGTGGCGAAGGCCACGGCGACGAAAACGAACCAGAACTGACGGCGGCAGCGACGCCAAGAAGGGAGCGTTGAAAATGACGGTGCTGACGTCAATTATGATTACAACATTTGTAGCATCTCCCGGATGCTAAGACCCAGACCGCTGCGCAGTATGAAATAATGATGATGACGATGCCAGCATGGTTTCAAACGCATGTCGTTAGATATTGAGCGGTAGTGACATGCACGACGAAGCCGATCGCACAGTCGTGCAGTTTGAAAGCGCACACGTGGTGTATGCTACCTCGCACAGATGGTTCTTACGCGAAAAGATGCCGCAGCTGACGGATGCATTCGAACTCGTATCCCCCCTTGCTCGTTTACAGTGTTGCGTTTGCGGTGCTAAACTATGTCGGTCTGTGAGGTTGTGCCCGTGTGGCAATATGAATTGTGGTGCTGTGTTTGGTGTGGCACAACGCAACCACCTTGCAGTAAGATGCTGCTCCGCACACTCTCGGCAACGCTGCAGAGATAAGTGAAGCGTACCAACACGGCCTTGAGCAATCAGAATTGGCACAGCCAACTTGCAGCCACAATCAGCATCGTCACTCCTCGTATGCTCATCTCAGAGGGACAATGCTAGAATCACGTCCTGCAGAGTGGCTCACAACCGCCTGACCTCGCGTTAGACTCGCGTGTCGTTTAAGCGAACCCAGTCACATTGCAATCGCCTTGAGAGCTGCTCAGTCTCCCCATCGGGAATCCCGTCCTCTTACCGCAGAGGTGGTACAGAGGGGCGACAGCGGAAAAAAAGGCGCACATAACACAGCCGCGCCCGGCCGTCGAACGGCTGTTACCACACATGCTGATGCAGCAGCCTATGCGCGCACCACGCCGCCTGTGTACACCACCGTGGCAGTGTTCATGTGAACCACAGCGCCTGCGTGTGCAACTGTGAGCGCGCCATGCCACAACGATTTTGTACACCATAGCTACGTCCATAGCAGCACGCTACGCGGGCACTGCAGCGACCGTGTACCACATGATGCGCGCGCACACCACGGCAGCCGCGCGCATCGCGGCGGCTGACTCCTGCGTGCACCAAGTTGTTTGTGTACGCCACAAAGCTCGCGTCACCTCGAAGGGCCTGGTGGGACCCAAACATCCAAACTCGTGGGTTTGGGGGGTGGGGCGCGAACGTCGGAGGTGAGGGGGTGAGATCGAAGTGGAACGGAGAGCCCCCCTACCGGGAAATCGATTTCGGTTTCGTGTTCGTGCGTGCCGTGCGCGCGGGCGAGGCGAAGCTGCGTGGGCGGGCGAGAGGAAAGTCTCCTGTGGCTGAGGCGCGGCCGGACCAAATGATTCTCCGCCGGGCGGCCGGTGGCGCGCGGTGTCCCGCCGGTGTCCCGCTGGTGTCCCGTCGGTGTCCCTGTGGCTGAGGCGCGGCCAGACCAAATGTGTCTCTTTTGGGCGGCCGGTGGCGCGCGGTGTCCCGCCGGTGTCCCGCCGGTGTCCCGCGGTGTCCCGCGGTGTCCCGCGGTGCCCCGCGGTGTCCCGCCGGTGTCCCGCGGTGTCCCGCGATGATGATGATGATGATGATGATGATGATGATGATGATGATGATGATGATGATGATGATGATGATGATGATGAGATGATGATGATGATGGTGATGGTGATGGTGATGATGATGATGATGATGATGATGATGATGATGATGATGATGGTGGTGATGCTGATGATGATGATGCTGATGATGATGACGATGATGATGATGATGGTGATGCTGCTGATGATGATGATGAGGACGATGATGATGATGATATGATGATGATGGGGTCCCGATGATGATGATGATGATGAGGATGATGATGATGATGATGATGTCGATGATGATGGTGACGATGATGATGATGATGCTGATGGTGTCCCGATGATGAGGATGATGATGATCATGATGATTATGTTGATGATCATGATGATGACGACGATGGTGTCCCGATGATGATGAGTATGATGATGTTGATGTTGATGATGCTGATCATGATTGTGTCCCGATGATGATGATGATGATGATGAGGTTGATGATGATTATGCCGTCCCGATGATGATGATTATTCTGATGGTGATGATGATGATGTTGATGATGATGGCGTCCCGATGGTGATGATGATGATGATAATGATGATGATGATGCTGATGTTGGTAATGATGATGATGGTGCCCCGATGATGACGATGATGATATTGATGCTGATGATGATGTTGATGATGCTGATGATGATGATGTCGATGATGAGGATGAGATGATGATGATGGTGTCCCGATGATGATGATGATGATGATGATGATGATGATGATGATGATAATGATGGTGATCATGATGGTGTCCCGATGATGATGCTGCTGCTGATGATGATGATGACGATGACTGTGTCCCGATGCTGCTGATGATGATTATGATGATGATGTTGATGATGATGATGATTGTGATGATGGTGATGATGATGATGATGACGGTGGTGTCCCGATGATGTTGATGACCGTGATGATGATGATGATGTTGGTGTTGATGATGAGGACGGTGTCCCGATTATGATGATGTTGGTGATGATGATGTTGATGTTGATGTTGTTGTTGATGATGATGATGATGGTGACGTTGATTGTGATAGCGGTTGTGATATCGATAGTGAGATCGATAGTGAGACCGAATGTGATATCGATTTTGAGATCGATTGTGAGATCGATTGTGAGATCGATAGTCAGATCAATTGTGAGATAGATCGAGTGAGATCGATTGTGAGATCGATCGAGGGAGATCGATCGAGCGAGACCGATACTGAGATCGATAGTGAGATCGATAGTGAGACCGATCGAGTGAGACGTTGGTTCCTCCCCCCCCGAACCTCCTTATCACCCGAAGGGTGGTCGTATAGGTATCAAAATTGATTATGTGAGCTTTTCTTGTGACTGGTGTTATTTTGCCCTGGGGCATGGCTCCCGCGCTGAGGGCCAAGAACGCCTGTACACCACGCAGCCGACTCGCGCCTCCACGCCTGCGTCCACAAGCCCTGCCTGTGGTCGCTAGAGCTGCCGCAGCGCAGTGGACACCGCGGGGACCAGGGGCCTGCGGATCTGGATAAGAATCTGGACTGAGAGGCCCAAGGACACACAAATAAATACACACAAATAACCAGATTCGTTATACTTTCCCACATATTCTGGGTTTTTGTCTCCCCCCCCACTTCCCATATTTCCCATAGTTACTTTCCTGGGAGTCGACGATTAATTGTGTCTGTGTGTTCTTTCCCCTCCTGAATGGAGCATTCGTGAAGCCACCCATGGACTTGACGCGCGGACGCCAAATCCATGGATCGGGGGAGGTGTCCTCCCCAAAATGCGGCCGGTGCCGCCTCGCTCGAGGGCGGAACTCTGCGATTTCCCCTGGAAGCGGGGACCCGTCACCAATCCACGCCCCCTTGATCCACGTCTGCGAGCGCCCGGTTTTCTTCTTCCTCCTGCTCCGCTTCCTCCTCCCCCCCCCTCTTCCTCGCACGCGTCGCAGGTGGTTGTCGTCGTCGTCCTTCTCCTCCTCCTCGTAATCTACCCCATTGTTCCCTACCTAGGCTCTGCCTAGAAGGGTTCTTACTCTCTTAGCTTAAAGGGGCCGGGCAGTGCACACCGCCCGGGCGGTTCCCCCAGTCCCCGCCCCGCGGTTCCCCCAGTCCCCTGGGAGCTTTAGCTTTAGCTTTAGCTTTGGCTTTAGCTTTAGCTTAGCTTTAGCGTAGCTTTAGCTTAGCTTTAGCTTAGCTTTAGCTTAGCTTTAGCTTAGCTTTAGCTTAGCTTTAGCTTAGCTTTAGCTTAGCTTTAGCTTAGCTTTAGCTTAGCTTTAGCTTAGCTTTAGCTTAGCTTTAGCTTAGCTTTAGCTAGCTTTAGCTTAGCTTTAGTTTAGCGTTGGCTTAGCTTTAGCTTAGCTTTAGCTTAGCGTTAGCTTAGCGTTAGCTTAGCGTTAGCTTAGCTTCAGCTTAGTTTTAGATTTAGCTTAGCTTTAACTTAGCTTTAGCTTAGCTGTAGCGCAGCTTTAGCTCAGCTTTAGCTCAGCTTTAACTTAGCTTTAGCTTAGCTTTAGCTTAGCTTTAGCTTAGCTTTAGCTTAGCTTTAGCTTAGCTTTAGCTTAGCTTTAGCTTAGCTGTAGCTTAGCTGTAGCTTAGCTTTAGCTTAGCTTTACTGTTACTACTAATGCTGCTTTCCTAGGGGCTCCAACTCCTAGGTAGGGTCGCACTGGGATAATATTTTTTACTAGTTTTGAGTATTCCTCCTGTAGAGGAACATGCATGCCCGACTTAAGACGAGCCCCATAGCGCGTGCTGCAGTATAGCGGAATGGACGAAGACGTGTTCAAAGAATCGTGCGGATCGCAGCTCCTCCTGTGGCGAGTTCAAGCCCAACTGCGAGACCAATAGCCCTGCGGTCCGACGACTCCCGTAAGCCGACGAATCAAGGGAGACAGAACAGGGCGAAGGCACCACTGCGTACCGGCGCCTGCCCTGGCAACCGTGGGGGGGAGGGGGAAGAAGAGGAAGAGGAGGAGGAAGAGGAGGAGCAGGAGGAGGAAAAGGAACAGGAATCTCGCCAGCAAAGTGTGGTCCTGCAGTGGACCGAAGACCCACCCCTACGCTCGTCGAGAGGTTCTGCGAAAAGGAAAAGGAAGAGGCGGAGGAGCGCCTGTGTGTGCATGTCTCGCCTGGACACATCAAATTCAACACGTCAGTTGTTCGTGAGTATTCATTTTTGTTATGGCCCTTGGCACGGTCCCCCCGTTGCTTGCGTGCACAACAGTGCTTGTGCATACCACAAAGTTGGACTCCACCACGCCTGCGTGCACCACAGTTGCCACCACATTAAGATGTGGCGAATTCGCCCACCCGAACCAGAACCCCTGATGAATTACCCCAAACTCGCGCTCACGAGGCCCGAATCCCTGATCAATTCCACCGGATTCGCGACCCCGAAGCCAGAACCCACAGTACGTCACGCCAGATCCTCGCTCCAGAAATCATACCCTGTTAAATTAAACCAGATTCGCCATCCTGAGGCGAGAATCCCTGTTGATTACTCAACACTTATGACCCCGAAAGCAGCATCGATTGTAGATAGCAGCATTTTTGTAAAATGCACCAGTCCAGTGCCCTTCGAAGCCCGCATTATTTCGCCAGATCCGCACTCACGGAACCAAACCCTTTCGCACCTTATAGCTCGCACCACAAATGTTGTACCACATAGATTGCGCACACATATATGGCAAACCATATATTGCACAACAAAGTTCAGGTGTTGCACATCATGGATTGCGTATCATATGTTTCACAACATAGAGTGCAAAACGTGTGTTGCTAGAAACACGCTAGTACGGGCCCACGATGGCTAATATGCGTATAAGTGCCCGCACTGGGAAAGAGATAGAGACAGAGGAAGAGAGAGAGAGAGAGATGGGAAAGAGAGAGAGAGAGAGAGAGAGTGAGAGAAAATAGCGAGAGAGAGAGAGAGAGAGGAAGAGAGACAACAACAACACACAACGCATGTAACCACAAACCAGCAAGAACAACAGCAAGCCGATTGGGGGCCTCCTGCTTCTGGCTGCCGCCGACGAGGGCTGTGTGGCCTCTGGAGCACGCGCCGCTCTCGGCGGGGGCAGGCCGCTCTGGCGTCAGATGCACGCGCTTGCCGGAACGCGTTTTGTTCGGGGGCCGCATGCGAACCCTACCCCTACCCCCACGATTTTTGAGGGGGAGGGTGGAGTTCACTCCGTTCGGGAGCTCCCGAGCCAAGTGAACCCCACCCTCCCCCTCCAAAATCGTAGGGGGTAGGGGTAGGGTTCGCGTGCGGCCCCCTATCTGTAGCTGAACTTCGGCAGACGAAGAGCACAGCAGAAGGAAGCGGCACCACGCAAGCCCGCTTCCCTGTCATCCTCCCGGCTGCTCCCGTCACGAGCTCGCTGCCTCCTCCTCCTCCTCCTCCTCCTCCTCCTCCTCCTCCTCATCCTCATCCTCATCCTCCTCCTCCTCGTCCTCGTCCTCGTCCTCGTCCTCGTCCTCGCCCTCTTCCTCCTCCTCCCCCTCCTCCACGAAGAGCACAGCAGAAGGAAGCGGCACCACGCAGACCGGACTCCCCGTCCTCCTCCCGGCTGCTCCCAGCACGAGCTCGCTGCCCCAACACGCCAAGGGCCTGTGGCCCACTCCGTCTGCAGGCCGCCGCCAGCTGCACAGACTCCACGCTCGACCCCGACGGCGTGTGCCAAGACGCCGACGGACCGTGATTCGCACTTGCCTTAAGTCGGGCGTGTCCCCCTGCAGAGGGGTTTTCGACGGGAACTAAAAAATACTCGAAAAAAACTCCATAATGGTAGAAAAACACCCCCAAAATAGTCCCCCGACTATTTTTTGACTATTTTTGAATATTCCCCCTGTAGAGGGACAGGCCCGACTTAACGCTGGCCACACAGACCACGCTCGACCTCAACGACGTGTGCCAAGACGCCGACGGACCGTGATTCGCACTTGCCTCGACTGGAGCGGCAACATGCATGCAGAGGAAGCACAAGGTGTCCTCTTTGAGCATTGTGAAGGGGCCCCAGGACACACAAATAAATACACACACAAATAACAGGATTCCCCATATCTTCCCATATTTTCTGGGTTTTCGTCTTCCACCCCACTTCCCATAGTTTCCCATATTTTCTGGGGAATCGACGATTAATTGTGTCCATGTGTGTTTTTCTCCTCCTGACATTGGTGCATCCCATCAGAGCACAATCGAGTGGCAAACCGCTCGGGCCGGTTGCCTGCGGTGTAGAGCACGTTCACTGGCTCGGCAGCATCGTACCCCTCCTGCTCAAGGGTAAGAGCGTCCTGAGGTCGGCTTGGGATGCGGCGTATCGCAAACCGAAAAAGATGTGGGAGGTCACATTTCTTCTTCTCGTCCTCATCATTACCCGCCCCGCATCCTCATCCTTCTCCTTCTCCTCGTTCCCCCGTGCCGCTTCCTCCTTCCCCCCTTTGCATCTTCCTCTCCCGTATGCTTGTTGTTCATAACTCTGTACATGTGCTGTGTAAGTGCTCTCGAACATGGGAAACACAATGGCATCGATACCGCTGCTCCCTCGAAGTCTCCCAGGGTTCACTCTGACCAAGATCCCGAGGCGAGTCCAACTGTTGACATGAAGGCCTCCCAGAAGGCGAAAACAGGCAAAGACCAACGGCATCGGTACCTCTGAGAGTCCCGTCTGATGCGGAGCGGTTAAATGCTACACGCGGGAGGTCCAACCTGCTGAGTACGCCCGCCCCACTTGCCCCAACCGAGGAAATCTCGTCTTTCGAAGAAGCATAGATGGGGCGCAACAGAACAATCAAACAGGCTCTCTAGATGACACGCCAACCATGCAAGCCACATCTTAGCCATCTTGAAACCCGAGCAGTCAGCCATTGTACTGTGGATGTGTAGGTTGTCGTGAGGTCTGTGAGGCGTGACCTGTGCGGTGTGAGCGGTGTGGTCTAAACTGTGCAGCGCAAATCTGCGCGGTGGCCTTCGGCAGACAATGGCAGCGGGCGGCGACGGGGCGCAACTGCAGCAGACACCCACGCGCGGCTGGCCCAGGTAACGCGCCTCACGCGCTGGGGAGGGTAACAGAAAACACTCACCAACGCCCGCGACAACACCGACAGCGAGCCCTTGCAAACATGAGCAGGGACGACTGCCGCTCTTCGTACCCAGTCTTTCCGTACAGACGGCCCGTATCACAAGGATGCGCGACAAGGATGCAGAGGGCCTCGGACGCCCATTCCGAAGCTTCTCGAGCGGGGCGCAGCCAACACGAGAGTGACCAAAGGATGGACCGAGGAAGCACGGATGCAACGGCACCCTCGGGAAGGCTGCCCATCCTCTTGCTGCGCGGGCTGAGTGTATACCCTTTCTTTCCGTAATTACCCGTCTCGACCGTACCGGCTCCTGACCACGGGCATCCCCGCACGCAACCCCGGCAAAACAACATCGGGTCCTGTGTTGTTCCCGTCGTACTTCAAGGACCAAGGACCACATCCCCACTATAATTCCGAGCACCCGGAAAAGTATCGAAGCAGTGTCGAACGGGGATCGCCTCCCAGGGCCCGACACGTGAAAACCCTCGAGTTTCGTACTCTCTTGGTGCTCGAAATTCTTTCTGGTTGGAACAAGGCTGAAGTCGGGTCCTTCAAGAGCCTGCCCTTGTAGAGCAGCCGCATGTGCTCGGGCTGAATGCCGCTCTCCTCCGCGACGATCTTCTTCACGTCCTCTCGGCCGACGGCGCGAAGCCGCCTCGAGCTTCTGCTGCTACTCTTGGCGGCAAGCGAGGGGGGAAGCGAGAAGGAGAAGGCCTCATCAGAAGGCGGCGGGACTTCTCCGAAGCCCCTCGCGCCTTCTGAAAGGTTGTGTCTTCGGGGAGGTCTTAGGAAGCTGCTCTGAAGGCCGGGGGACTTGCGAGCCTTCTGAGAAGGCCCGCCCCTTCTCACTTCCTCCCCTCGCTCGCCGCCGATCTTCCAACCCAGCTCCTGGCCTGCGATTCCACCCCGATTCGGAACCGACGCTCGCTACCTCATCGAAGGCGATGCGGGACAAAGGCGGTGCGTGAGGCAAACAGAGGCGGGTTATGTTCTCCGGCCGCTCGAAGGCCCTGCGGCGCGCAGACAATACAGGACGCCAATCAGAAGAGCATTCCCGAGAGCAGTCCAAGACGGCTCCAGGGAGCCCAGTTGACCCAAGAGAGCCCCAAGAGGCCCTCAGAAAAGCCCACATGGCCCAACCAATAACTCCGAGATAACTCCAGAGGGCCCTCCACTTGTTCCCCTGGTGGCTTCCCCAAGCGCTGGGGGAACACGCAGTCCACCAGCATGGCCGCACTTTCGCTCGACATCTCACCACACAACGGCGTTCCGAAAACGCATGGGGGCGGCGGTGGTTCGCCGTCGACATCTTCGATGCTTCGCACTGCGCATGTGACTGTGTGCGGTCCCGTTCGGTCATCGTGCTCGGCCGAGCATGCTCGGGCTGGTACCATCATCGAACGCGCTCCTGCGATCCAACTCGCCCCCCCCGTCCCTCTTACCCGATGCTAAACTTCTGTATCCGCCTCGAGCCTCCACCACGCTGCTCGCGCCTTCAAATACGCACGCTGTCGCATATTTGAATTCACCGCAGGGGGTCGTTTAGTTATGATTCCCCCTTGTTCTCTCGGCGGTGAACAGGGCTGGTCCTGAAACCTGCTCCTACTCCTCCTCCTCCTCCTTCTCCTCCCCTCGCTCCTCTTCGTGTCATGCCTAAGCAGGAGGATGAAGAGGAGGAGGAGGAGGAGGAGGAAGAGGAGGGAGGGAGAGGAGGAGGAGGAGGAGGAGGAGGGGGAGGAGGAATGGGAGGAGGAGGAGGAGGAGGAGGAGGAGGAGGAGGAGGGAGGAGGAGGAGGAGGCATAGGAAACAAGAAAATTGGCGCGGCGGCTGCCGCGGACCAAAAATAATGAGTTAACCCTTATTGGTGGGCCCCTGTCCTTCAATAAGGCCGCCAAACAAATAATGAACTACCTCCTATTGAGGTGGGGTTCCAAAGACCCTCTGGGGTTACGTGCACGTGCACTGGGCAATACCGCGTTTGCCCCAACACGGCCCACGTCCGCTGGCCTCCACGGAGCCCCCGTCGGCTGCCGCGGGCGGCCGAAACGGAGGGCATCACGTCTTCGCAAAGTGCACGGTGGGGAGAATGGACACGGAGCTGTGCACCCTCTGTGCAAAGGTTGAGGACGACTCTGCCACGTCTGCCGCTGGAAACTCGAATAACCACGAAGGGTCTTTAGACCCCCCGAATGGGGGTAACAAATCAAATTGTGGCGGCCATATTCACGGACTGGGGGTAACAAATCAATGTGTGGCGGCCATATTCCCGCGGCACCCGCCGCGCAAAACAACGACACCGACAGCTACGATTACGATAGCGATTACGAGGAGGAGGAGGAGGAGGAGGAGGAGGTGGAGGAGGAGGAGGAGGAGGAGGAGGAGGAGGGGGAGCGGGAGGAGGAGGAGGAGGAGGAGGAGGAGGAGGGGGAGCGGGGGGAGGAGGAAGAGTTTGTAGGACCAGTCCTATTCACCGCAGAATAAAAAAGGAGGACCGAACAGAAAGACCCTTCGCTGTTGTTCCAAACCTCCGTGAACTTCGTCTGAACTATACCCCTCAAGACAAGCATGAACCATCCTCTCTTACCTTACTCGTCCATCCTCTCCCCTATCAATCCCTCCACCCTCTCCTTCCGCTTCTCCGCCGTCTCCTTCGTCTTCTACTATTCCTCCTCTTCGACACTCGCACGGGTCGCACTCGGCTCCCGGATGGCCATCTCGGACTCGAACTCGAGGTCAAAATTCTCGCCGATGACCCTGAACTGCACCACGGCTGGGCCATCTTCCGACATGTTCGCTTGTGGGGCTCGAGAGAAGGGGGTTGGCAAGGGAGTGGGCAATTGGAGAGAGAGAGAGGCGGAGGAAGAAACCTTCGGCGCTTGTTATCCAAAGAAGAACGACCCATATGTGTGTCGGCGGAATTATGATTGCCTCGCTAGTTTCTGGGCGGGGCCGGGAAAGTACAGAGGTTTGCGGCGAGCGAGGGGGGAAAAGGAGGATAGGGAGGGATCAGGAGAGAGGGAGGAAGGGCGGGGAGGAGAGGGAGGTAGGAAGGGAGGGGAGGAAGGGAAGGCGAGGGGAGCGGGGAAGGAAGGGTTGAGGAGTGGACCCGAAGGCACTCTCTGGACAGGAGGGGAGGGAGGAGCGAAGGGGGGGAATGGGGGGGG